TTGCCTTTAGCCATGAAGGCAATTTAATTATTAATTTCAAGAAATCAAAGTAGGCATGTTAATTATTGATCAAGCTCATACAAAAAAGGTCTTTCGGGATCTGGAGCGAGTTTAAAACGATTTCTATGCATGCTGTAACGGCTCTGACGTGGAGTACAAAACTAAAGCTCATTTTTGCTGTGCGGGCTCCTGAACGCTAGAAAGGGCAGAAAAAAATTTGCTCCGAAGGCGTGATTTTACAGCGTTGGAGTGATGTATGAAACTTTTAGCGAAGAGTACCCGCCACGGGTAATTGAACCTTAGACCACTTCTTCACTACGGCCTCTTGTTTGGGCTTCACCGGGACGCTCAGCGAAAATACCTCGGTCTGTAGTTACGGATGCGTTTCTATAAAATGCAGAGAGCCTTTTTCAAATGCCCTCACTATCCTGAAAAAGAACCTCTTGTTAGAAATGGGCCACACATTCGATTGCCATCCTAGATTAGAGATTGCAAAGTGCTTATATTCGGCTCCAAATTCACATTTTCTGGTTTTGGTAAATTCATATACCCTTGAACTAGTCCAAGTGACAATGAAGCGCCTGAGTTTCAAAGGATGGCATCTTTTATAGAACTGAGAAGGACTAGCAACATGGATCATACAGTGGCAAGGTAGCGCCAGTATTCCCTACACCAGCTATACACCATTCTAAACAAATCGTACACATACAGGATAACATAAGGTTTTTCTCAAGAAATAATATCTCAAATCTCTGTGGTTTCAGCGGGTACCACGTCCATTACGGCCGGACCTTCGTCCTCTCTATCAAGGATCAAATCCAATCAGCGATGTATGGAGTCTTGAAGCGCTGAGGGTAAGGAGAATCTGCTCTGAATGGTTCAATTTATTTGCCACCTCGAAATTTAGATAATGGGCAAATATTTCCGTCGAAGTATACAAGGATAGTTCTGATGAGGAGGCAAGAGAGAATATGCTGTTAGCCAGCACTTTCGCCGGAGTTGGATTCGGAAACGCTGGTGTCCATCTTTGTCCATGCGCTCAGCTACCCGATCAGGTTCATGCCCATTTTCATCGCTACTTTGCCGTTTACATTGCATGAAGTCGGTCCATAATTTTTGAGACACTTTACATGTATTGTTGTAAAAATCTTTTGATAAGTATTGAAGCTTTCCAAGATGTCCTGCAACCCAGCACACAAGCTCGCCTATCCGACAGGCTAGCCACCTCGTTTGCTTGTTGCTTTCTTTAGCTAGGATTCCAATTTCTTCGAAACCTATTTCTGAGCCTCTTTCTTCATGACTACCGATTAGGATCTTCCACGCGCCAGGCTACAAGAGGGCTTTGCGCTTGGAACCGGCACCAACTAATACCGGTGTCAGTGATGAAGATAATCGTCGACAGCTTGATGGCAACGCCTTCAAATTGAAAGCAAAGTAAGACAAAATCTATTTTTTCTGAGGTCGTTTGAGTCCACCTTGCTAAGAAAATTCATGAAAAATTGGAGACTCTCGGGCGGTCAGTTCTTTTAGCTCCGCCTTGTAGCACTACCTTGTGCCAACGAACGACATCCGCTCTCCTCTCTAGTTCACTTTCTGGAAAAGAAATCTACTTTAAACACCGTGATGTGAAATCGTGTCCATCTGCCCACTTATCAACTGCAACAGGATGGATACGTCGTCCCCTCAGTTCTCTCTTCCGAAGTCCGACACGCCATCAAGTCGGTGAAGAATCGTACAGCACCCGGTCTCGACAGGGTCAAACCGGAACATCTGAAGAATGCCGCCAGTTATCATCAAAACTCTGGCTCGACTCTTCACGCGCTACCTGTCGGAATGCAAGGTACCCACTCCGTGGAAAACCAGCAGGACCGTGTTGCTGTACAAGAAGGGAGACCTGGACGACATTGGCAACTATCGCCCAATCTGCCTGCTGTCTGTAATCTACAAGCTATTCACTCGAGTCATCCTTAACAGGATCGGCAGAATACTAGATGAAGGACAGCCATGCGAGCAAGCAGGGTTCCGAAGAGGGTTCAGCACGATCGACCATATCCACACGGTTACAAGACTCATTGAAGTTTCACGAGAGTACAAGATGCCGCTTTGTCTCACGTTCATCGACTTGAAGAAGGCCTTCTGTGGAGACAGAAGCGGTCATCGAAGCCTTGGGCAACCAGGGCGTCCCTACTCAGTACATCAAGATTCTTCGTGAGCTCTACAGCAACTTTACGACCAGAATCTCACCATTCTACAAGGAGGTCATCATCGACGTCAAGAGAGGGGTCCGACAGGGCGACACCATCTCGCCCAAACTCTTCAGCGCCGCTCTCGAGAACGTCATGCGTCAACTGGAATGGGAAGACATGGGAGTGAAGGTCGACGGCCGGCAACTACACCACCTTCGTTTTGCTGACGACATCGTTCTTATAACGCCGAACATCGAGCAAGCGGAGCGAATGCTGGCTGATTTCGACTGCGCCTGTGGTAAGGTTGGTCTACAGCTGAACCTAACGAAGACGATGTTTATGAGAAACGGATTGGTTCCTGATGCCCCATTCACGCTCAACGGAACGAACATCACCGAATGCTCCAGCTACGTGTACCTAGGTCGGGAAATCAATATGATGAACGATCTAGCTCCAGCCATGAGCCACAAACCTCTTTCGATTCCCGAATGTCTTCCTGCCCTAACCTACGCCTCAGAGACTTGGACTCTGCGCAGGCAGGACGAGCATGCGGTCAGCGTTATCCAACGCGCTGTCGAGAGGACGATGCTAGGAGTAACCCTATACACGCAAGTGCAGAGGGGAATCCGGAGTTCCGAACTACGCCAACGATCGAAGATCAGGGACGCTGCCGTTTTCGCCAAGGAATCGAAGATAAGGTGGGCCGGACACGTCATGCGATTTTGCGATGACCGTTGGACCAGAGCGGTTACCGACTGGATCCCTCGGGACGTCAAACGAACACCTGGACGACCGCCGGCCCGATGGTCAGACTTCTTCACGAAAGCTCTGAACGAAAGGAATGAAGGACTTCGTGTCCCTCGAGCGAGGAGGATCCACTGGACAACTCTTGCACGCGACAGGGACGAATGGAGACGTTGCTGGCGCCCGCTCGAGCAAATCGATGATCAACGGGACGACAGGTGATACAGGTGATACAGGTGATGTAGAAATCGACATCCAATTTTCTTCGATCAGAACTCTATGAAATTCTACAAGAGAGACACTGAATACCCACCCTCGCATTGGCGATATGTTGGTAATAATGGTGATGTATACTATGCTGAATAAATACATCAGAGAAATAAGATAAGTAATTGAATCGAAAACACACCAAAGTTTCTCAAAAATTATGGACCGACCTAATATTTCAATTTACAACTTTCATTTTTACGCGGAATTTCCCCAAATATTCGAACATGTATGTAGCAGCGATGATTAAGTACCTATTATGGTTAGAATCATGGTTAAGTTTGCGTGGTAGTAACAAAGCATCAAACCGTCTAGCGTCAGTGATAAAAAAAGGCGTGTCGTTGAGTGTGCGCCATGTGTTTTAATTCTGTCCAGTATTCTGGGTGCATCTGCATACGTGACTTCTGAAGCAGTCCTAAACTACCCTAGAGGGACTTATTCACCCGTACCAACCCTGAATTGTGACTTTGATCACCTGGGAATCTGAAGTGCCTAAAAAGAGCGCTATGGCTTCGAGAAAATCGGTCCAACCGCATCAATTTTTCCCGTCCGCAGCATGCTGGTTTCTGATGATCTCTCAATCGTTGCGCCTTCTCGCATGCCATTGCTCCTCCGTGCCCAACCTGTCATTGCCTTAGTACACTTGAACAAGATTAATTGGCGACCCTTAACTTAGCGTATTTGATGGGTTCTCTCCTTTTTTACTGTCGGCTCACTTCGCATCAATACTATTAGTTTCGTGTGCGATAAATAAACCACATAAACCTGGGGTAGGCCTTTAGGTGTTCCCAATCGGCGTACAACTGCGTATACATACATTATACAAAGTAAAGGATAAAGGATAAAGCATTTGCCGTTGATCAATCCCTTTTTGGGATGCGGCACGCATTCTACTTCCATTTGTACATTCGTAGTGGCGTTTGAATGCGATGTGGCCTATACAATGACTTGCGGGGGCCAGCCGATGTACAAGTCAGTGTTTTTATCCTCCCAGACAAGTCTGGTACCAATTAACCGACCCCGGAGGGATGGAAGGCTTGGTTGGCCCGGGCGACTCACGACCCAGGATTTGATCCCCGGACCGCTCGCGTGGTAAGCGTGCCACTTGCCACTACACCACTTCCGCCCTCAAAACGGCCAGGGTTCGAATTTAGCCTGGTCTACCACGAATATTTGATTTGCCACTCCAAGCTAGATTCTTTCACTCTCTTGATCTCCATGCTATCTCCTGGCCCATATGCCGACATTGGAATTAGCTCCGCCCCATTCGGTTCACCTACCCACCTGCATTTGTCCTTCCCTCCTTCGTCAACCGCCATCCACTTTTTCCCGGTCTCTGGACTGTCTCTGAAGCGAATTATATTGCTTCGTGGCGAACCCCGCCCACTTTGGCGCATGCCCTGACCACTGTTAGCACTTGAGCTCCCTTGTTCGTTAACCTCTATCCACCTTTTTCCCCTCTCTAGGACTTCTCGAAATCGAATCATGAAGAACTTAGGAACACTGTCCTCTTCAAACACGCTCCATCCATTTGGGCGGGCCTCCGCTCACGTCTTGTATGCTGGAAAGCTCTTAGACATTGGTCCCTTGCACCAATTTTTTTTCCAGGCTTCTACTAACCGAGTTATGAATCTTATATTTAGCACCGCTTTTTTGGAGAACGCTCCGCCCTCGCTGGTGGGTCTCCGTAATTCGATCTTCTTTATAAATGCACACCTTTACCCGTGTTTTCCCTGGTCTCTGAGCTGTTTTGGAATCAGATTACAGATTTTCATCGTCCCCGCTCCATTCGATGTACGCCACGCCCACTGTGAGGGGCTCTGCTAAGTTGATGTGCAATACCTTTGTAATGTACTTCTTGGAACACGACCCA